ACCACGGCGGCGGTCAGATCTGCAATGCAGCAGGGGGTGCTAAGAATCTCTGGATACGGACAGGCCGCCATTGGAACCTCAACTTGGAAACGTTTAACGTTAGAACGTTATCTAGTGAGGGAAGTCTACCTGTACTATTCGAGGAGCTGAGGGTGTTAAATGGGATATAATAGGGCTCAGTGAGGTTAGGAGGACAGATGAGGCCTATAAGGTGCTACACAATGGGCACGTCCTTTGCTATCGGGGCTTGGCTGACAGAAGAGAACTGGGAGTGGGGTTCCTAATTCACAGAAACATAGCTGTCAACATAGAGTAATACTATAGCATTAATGAAAGGGTGGTAGGTATCGTAATTAAACTGAATAAGAGATAAATGATGAAGGTGGTACAGGCTTACGCACCTACATCCAGCCATGATGGCGCTTCAGTTGAAAACTTCTACGAAGAAGTGGAATCGGCAATGAGTAAGATAAAAACACAGTATACAATACTGATGGGAGACTTTAATGCAAGGGTAGGGAAGAAGCAGGCTGGAGACCAGGCAGTAGGAGATTGTGGCATTGGTACTAGAAACGCCAGAGGAGAGCTACTAGTAGAATTCGCAGAATGCACTAATTTACGGATTTTGAATACCTTCTACCGAAAACGAGGAAACCACAAGTGGACATGGAGGAGCCCTAATAGCGAAAATAAGAACGAAATAGACTTTATAATGAGTGCACACCCAGGCATCGTGCAGGATGTGGAAGTGGTTGGCCAGGTACGATGCAGTGACCATAGAATGGTACGGTCTCGAATTCGCCTAGACTTGAGCAAGGAACGACAGAAACTGATACGCAAGAAGCCAATCAATGAGCTAGCACTGAGAGGGAAAGTACAGGAATTCAGAGTCTCGCTTCAGAACAGGTACTCGGCTCTTAGTGAGGAAAGCAACCTTAGCATAGATACAATGAATGATAATCTGACGAGTATCATTACGGAGTGTGCAGTGGAAGTTGGAGGCAGCGTAGTTAGACAGGACACTGGCAAGCTTTCCCAGGAAACGAAAAATCTCATTAAAAAGCGTCAAATAATGAAAGTCTCAAGTACAACAGACAAAATAGAACTGGCAGAGCTTTCTAAGTTGATTAATAGGCGTAAGGTATCCGATGTAAAAAGGTATAACATGGAGAGAATTCAACACGCTCTGAAAAACGTAGGAAGCGTCAAAGCAGTGAAGAGGAAACTTGGGATAGGCAAAAATCGGATGTATGCAGTAAGGGACAAAGAAGGCAAAATAACTAGCAATACGGATAGGATAGTTAAAATAGCGGAGGAGTTTTACAAAGATCTGTACAGTAGCCGGGACAACCACGACTTTAATACTATAAGACCTAGCAGTAACCCAGATGACATCCCACCAGTAATGATAGAAGAAGTCAGAAATGCTTTGGAGAGCATGCAAAGAGGCAAAGCTACTGGTGAGGATCAGGTAACATCAGATCTGCTGAAAGATGAAGTACAGATTGTGTTAGAAAAACTAGCCACCCTGTTTACGAGGTGTCTCCTGACGGGAAGAGTACCAGAGTCTTGGAAGAACGCTAACATCATCTTAATACCTAAGAAAAGAGATGACAAGGACTTGAAGAATTACAGGCCTATAACTTGCTCCCTGTAGTATACAAGCTATTTACAAAGGTAATTGCTAACAGAGTAAAGAAAACATTAGAATTCAATCAACCAAAGGAACAAGCAGGATTTCGAACGGGCTACTCAACAATCGACCACATTCATACCATCAATCAGGTAATAGAGAAATGCTCAGAATATAACCAACCACTATACATAGCCTTCATAGATTACGAGAAAGCGTTTCATTCAGTAGAAATATCAGCCGCCATGCAGACACTGCGGAATCAGGGCGTCGATGAAGTATATATAAACATCCTAGAAGAAATCTACAGAGGATCAACTGCTACCATAGTGCTTCATAAAGAAAGCAACAGAATACCAATCAAGAGGGGTGTAAGGCAGGGGGACACTATCTCCCCAATGCTATTTACCACGTGCTTACAGGAGGTTTTCAGAAGCCTAGAATGGGAACAGTTAGGGATAAGAGTTAATGGAGAGTACCATAGTAACCAGCGCTTTGCCGATGACATTGCATTGCTCAATAACTCAGGGGACGAATCGCAACTCATGATTACGGAGTTAGACAAGGAGAGCAGTAAGGTGGGTCTTAAAATGAATCTGCAGAAAACGAAAGCAATGTACAACAACCTCGGAAAAGAGTAGCGCTTCGAGATAGGTAATAGTGCACTTTTAGTTGTAAAAGACTATGTCTACTTAGGGCAGATCATAACCGCGGAGCCGAACCACGAGATTGAAGTAACTAGAAGAATAAGAATGGGGTGGAGCACATTCGGCAAGCACTCTCAAATTATGACAGGCAGATTGCCACTATCCCTCAAGAGGAAGGTATATAACAGCTGTATCTTGCCGGTACTTAGCTACGGAGCAGAAACCTGGAGACTTACAAAGACGGTTCAGCTTGAATCGAGGACGACGCAACGAGCGATGGAAAGAAAAATGGTAGGTGTAACCTTAAAAGACAAGAAGAGAGCACAGTGGATTAGGGAACAAACGGGGATTAAGGATATCATAGCTGAAATCAAGAAGAAGAAATGGACATGGGCCGGGCATGTAGCGCGTAGACAGGATAACCGCTGGTTGTTAAGGGTAACCAACTGGATTCCCAGAGAAGGCAAGCGGGTTAGGGGGAGACAGAAGGTTAGGTGGGCAGATGAGAATAAGTTTGCGGGTATAAATTGGCAGCAGCAAGCACAGGACCGGGTTAACTGGCGGAAATGGGAGAGGCCTTTGTCCTGCAGTGGACGTAGTCAGGCTGATGATGATGATGATGCTGCTGCAGTGCTCAAGAAAATTCCGGAGTGTTATGTCGCGAGTAATGTAGACTAATATTCAAATTCAAGTTTTTAGCTTATAGATATAGACATTATAAAATATTACATCTTAAACGAAAATTAGCGCGACCAAAACAAGGACGGGAAAGAAAGAAAAACTTCAGGAGCAGAAAATATATAAAATATAAATAAAAGAACAACTCCTTGAACCCTTTCAATACTCTTCAAAAGCTGACCACAAAAAGATAGTACGGTAACCTAAACGTCAGTACAACATTATTAGAAGCTCGGTATTTCATAAATAAATAGCATACTGCATAGCATACCATCATCTGAGGAGAACTGTGAAACGGTGGAAACTTTTATTTACATGGTTCCTGCAACGCCGCAGTGGCATTACCACAGCAAGGCGTATATGCAAAATCAGCAGAGCTAATACCATTTCTTTGATGGTACACAAAGAAATAATAAATATACAATAATAAAAGTGTAATTGATCGCAGTACGCAAACTAAATGTTGGTACATTATAGCTGCCCCTGTGTGGTAGGGTCTGGTCAGGAGCTTTGGATCCTCCTTTTGCTTTACCTTGCAGGTGAACCATGTATACGTGTTATGCCCAGAAAAAGTATATATATATATAATATATATATATATATATAATATATATATATATATATATATATATATATATATCTATATATATATATATATATATATATAGTATATATATATATATGTATATATATATATATATATTATATATATATATATATATATTATATATATATAATATATATATATATATATATATATATATATATTGTTTTTTGCAATGCAAACATTTTTTGCACGCTATTGGAAATAAATATAAGCAACGCCAAAAAATTTGGTGGGTTCATTACGACTAATGTCCAGGCAACGTAAAAAGTCGATTTGTAATTGAACTTGGAGTCAAAAATTTGTATCCAAGCACTTGAGAGTGTCATGAGATAGAGCATATCAGAGGTGCGAGCTAAGTTTAAACCGGTGTCGTGTTAAACGGTACAAACATTGGCAATAGTATTCCACAGAAATAAAACGGGCAGGTATAAAAAAAAACACCAAAAATAGGTACAAAATATTTAATATGTATGTCATAGTTTCACAACGATGACAACGAAGCATCATTTCTTCTCATGTTTACTATGTCTTCCGGAAGTGCATTCCACTCTCCAAGTATTTAAACATAATGAGTTGGCAAAATTAATTCTTTTCAGTGAGTAATATTATATTTTAAGAGAGTGTTTTCATCTCTTAGTGCGATTTGTTCGTGCTAATAGGCATTTCGACCTATCAATTCCTGTTTTATTATGATAAATGCCATACAAAAGCTCCATTTGAAGTTTTTGTCTTCGAGACTTTAGAGTTGCCCAGCCGAATGTGTTCTTTATTTATGAGATACTTGCGAATTGGTTCTCACTATTGTTCAAGAAATCGCAGATTTTTCCCTCAATAGCTTATTACACCTTTATATTGTACTCGCATCTGATATAAACACGGTAACCTTGAAACTGTCGTTAATATGACAACTAGCATTGAACTGTTTCTTAAGAAGGTGTTCGTCACTTCCGACCTAATGGTACCCATTTTATGTACTACCACACCTGCTTTGACCAAAAAGGTCTGAATTATGTTCAAAGAAAACAAAATGAACGGGAATAACGTGCAGTTTCTTGTTTTTGTTTTCAGCTTACGGTGTTAAAAAGTGTCAGTTGGAATTCAGCGCTGATAATCGTCGCTACCTTCTCCTAGCTTTCTCGCGCTGTTCACGTATTCATAGTTAGTGAGGGCTGCGAAACGTTCCGCCATTTGGTATTCTTTGATATGCACTGACCTCCCACAAAACACGGCTTTCTGCATCTCTCTGACAAAGAAATGTTACCGCTACACCGAGGATGGAAACCGGAACTTCTGTACCGTTACCACCATAGCACCACGGTAGATTTTCTCAACGCCTATTCCACTGACAAGCAGCCTTTAGAACTTTATTTGACTTCGTATGAACTGCATCTTTAAAAATTTGCGTTATTAGGGGAATCATACATAAAATAATGCGCCACTTGTTGCAACTACTTTATTGAAAAAGCAAAACATCTTCCCCACATTTCTTCAGAGAAAGTTTGTCCAGTTGAACACTGCGCGGTATTTGTACTGCGGGCAACGCCATGGCTTCACGCACCGCCCTTTGCGATTTCTGTACAAGCCAGGACGGCAGAAGCACTTGGACACGCAGTCAAGATCACACGGATGCTCGGTGTACTCCTCCCAGCCTTCTAGCTGCCAGCACTTCAGCTCGCCGCAATTGCTGCTCTCGCACTCCCTGAAGATTTCACCCACTCGACAACCTGTGGGTCGCGTCATCAATCTTTAAATGCACAGAAAGAGTTAGATAACAGTGCATCCAATAAATTGAAAGTCAGAAAGGTCCATACTTTATTGAAATATAGGCCACTTGGTTACTTAGTGCAAGCCCCTCTACTCGGGCCGCACCGCTTATTGCGGCTGGACGCTACGTTCCTCCATTCTCAAAACATGGCATGTGAGAAACGATAGATAGACAGATAGATAGATAGATAGATAGATAGATAGATAAATAGATAGATAGATAGATAGATAGATAGATAGATAGATAGATAGATAGATTGAAGAGTCACCAATCCGTCATTGTCGTGTAACTGAACTGCTCTTAACCATTCTTATAAAGCTTTGCTAGGAGCCGATACAGGTAGTCGGGGAAGGAACTTGTGTTCATGTTTAGGTTGTACTCGTATATAGTGCCCCCGGAACAAGGAATCAAACGGTGAAACAGGTGGGTATGAAGGCCTGCTGGTGAGCGGTATTATCAAGTTCTATGCTATCGCAGTTTTCAGTTCCTCATTGTCACTTTCACCCTTAAACAACCGTGAAAGAAACAAGCAGACATGCAAGAAAGCTGTCCGGCGTGACATAATTTACACTAACATATAGGAAATGACAGTGACAATAGGAAACAGGCAAAGCTGTAGAGGGAGATAACATGAAAATGTCTCTGCAGTCGGATGTCCCATTGTATACCGGAATTGAACAGCAATAATAATCATATGGAGAAACATGAATAGATACAAGTGAAAAGTCACAGCTTTGCTACCAAGCCGAAACAATGAACGCGAAAGCAACAATTTGGAAGGTCACGTGCAGAATGGCCAGCAGATTGAAACGTGCCCCGAATTTTCCACGAACAAACGACGCACGAAACGTACTGACAAGTACAGATGAACGCGAATAAGTGTTTCAGTTGTTACATCGCTGTATCTGAAAAGCATGAAGTTTTCGCAATTGGAGACTTTGGAACGATTGCAGTGACCTTTTTGCACCCAGTAACAACGGGATTGTTCCGGTCAAAGCCCAAAATCAGCCAAGACGTACGATCCTCTCCACCACGAGATAAAGGCGCGCGAGTGAGCGTCCACACCCTCCTCTCTATGGGCAACGTATGCGTGGGAGATGAAAGCGTGCGCCGCCGCGTTGCGACGATGTGGCGATGTGCTCTCATCGCGCCATCTCTCTGGTAATGCTAAAAACAGAAGAGTTTTCTCGAGAGAGCCACCGCCAGTGGTAAGTACTTGGTAGGTATAAATAGCTTCTCATTTCAACGCTCTAGGTGGTGCCTTTTCGTAGCTCAGTGTCTAACGGAATGCACTGACAAGCAAGAGGTTGGACGTTCAATACAGTGTGCCCAAGTCATAATTTAGAAAACTTTTTTTTCTTGCTTGCGTTTTAACCTATATAGATACGTATACATGTACAATGAATAACCATGGCCACCAAAGTCGACGCTAGCGCAAGTGGCAAAATCCAGCCGAGGGTGTTCATATAATTACTTTCGCAATAGAAGAGCGAGTCGATGAAAAGGCTCTGGAAGTCAATGTGCTAGTAGTAAAGTAACTCTGACCGCTGGTGTACGAGCGCTGGCGCATCCAAAACTGCACAATCACGGCTGCGCGGGCTGATGTTGCATGCAACAGATGTATTCTCTGTGCAGAAATGTGAAAATAGTTTAGGGAGGTGGGAAGGCTTGGTGCTACTTTTAGACTACTCCCATAGGATGTTCCTAATTGTCTAACTGTGAACTTACTTCACAGCTGCTACAGAATTCTAGCTACTTAATGACCATTCGCCGATGTTATGTGCATAATACTAATATATTTATATATCGGTCGTCTATTTTATGAACGCTAAGCCATTCGAAAGTGTTGACTTTCAAGGCCCTCTTATATTTACTACATGTAGGAGCGTTGTCGACAAGCGCTAGCCTGTCGCGCGCGTAAGTATTGCTCATAAATTATAAGAATTCTCACTGGTTTCCTATTGGTGCCACCAATTGTTCACACATGGGTTGTCACCAAGAACAAGCAGAAAATACTATACGCAAAAGTCGAATAGTTCGCCCTAGTACAGATTTAGCAGTCCTGTTAAGTATAAGGGATTCCCAAGAACTGCGGACGCCTGTAGGTGGCATCCTGCCGAAACTGCATAGAAAATAGGGAATCTCTTGAAATAAGCTAGTTATCAAATGTTACTTCTGGTTTTATATAGCAGAGATCCACTAAACAATTTGCGTAAAAGTGCTGTATTATATTGCATAGCGTGGGGCTTACCAGGACTATTGAACAGCACCAATTAGAAACAAATGGCATCCCACTGTAAGATATGAAAAAAGACTGGGAAGCCACCTGGTTTGTTCTGCAACACTAATGGTGCAAGATTGCACGAATAAGTCTCTGCTGCGGAGAACCAGGAATGGTTCTCCATAGATAGCTTTTTCCGTCAGACACGATTTTTTTGTCACTGTTTCTCTTGACTTGGTGCAAGCCACCGCTGTGATCGACGAGAAATTGCATTTGGCACATGTCCCCCAAATCTGGTCACGGTTATAGAAGAAAAAAAAAACTAAACTTACGATACCAGCTCACCCATGGGTCCCACGACGGCCAGGTTGAAGGATAGTAAAATATTTTTTGATAAGGAATTGACCGCGTCATCGCTATGAGCACGAGCAGCGCCATCGTTGCAAGCGTGGTACGAGTCATGTCGACTTTGAAGGAAGTTATTTTGGCTACTGTTGCTCGACTCTTTTCAAGGATTGCCCAATACTGGCAGAATCGTTGATGCTGTGTTTTATATTCACCGTACTTAATTTTCCGGCAATTTTGTTTTTTTATTCGGTCCACACGTGTCAAGAGGCTAGCGTGTAACCCGTGAAGGCTTTATGACGTCTCTCAAATCCTGTAGTGTAGTTCAGGTGGGACATTGAGCTACAACTACACAATATGTGATCACTCTTACACGCATGACACGCGCGATGCATTGTGGTTTTCGTATGCAGTGCCGGTAGCACGCAAGTGTGTGCCTTTTTCGCGATAGACCGTCACGCACTTCTCAAAATTTAAAACATAGATTTGTTTTTGTTTTGTTTCTAGTTTTCACAAAAAAAGAAAGCGGAAGGCGCCAAAGAAAACTATTCAAAAAAGTTTTTTGGCACTCGAAAACAAATAAACTACTACCTAAACCACCTTAACCAAATTATGAAGACTTGAGCTTCAACCACATGCACGCCATTTCCTCGCAGCAGCCACGAGCGCTAAGGTTTGCTGTCGCGGAGGCACAGCCGTCGCCGCCACTTGTCGCGTCGCACGTTTCTGAAAAACTGAACAAGATCGCTTGTCGCCCGAAAGTCAGCGGGGCGATTTCCGGCAACATTGCTGCGCACTTGGTCTTCGCTTCGGTTTCAATTTCCTCTCAATGCTCGACACCACACTTACTTCAAAGAATGGAAGTTACCGGCTATATTCTCAGTTACATTCTCAGTTCCCGCGGTGAGTGAAAGAGCGGCCGTATTTCGTCCTAAATCTTGTTATCGAAGGCTTATTTTAATGTCTCGACGCATTGTAGCAAAAGAAAATTTCATCGCTTGCTACAATGCGAAATCATCGTTCGAAGTGCGTCGCAGTCGTCGCAGAGTACGCTTCTGGGCAACCTGTCATGGTTAAACCAATTGCGAAAAAAGAAGGTGGTGAAAAGCTCTAGTGGCTTTCTCATAACACTTAAGACAGTAATAAGTTTGGCATGTTGTCATCGACCAACTTTCAAATTTCTAAAAGCAATTTATGGCTACAAACACGGTAGTTTTCATTCAAGCGACAATCACACTTTGTGTCTGGCATGCGGTGGCAGTCGTCACGACGCGACGGCGCGACGGAGCATGTTTGTCGCTGCCGTTTGTCGCCGTCGCTAGGAAATTCGGTGCATGCGCTTAGAGCTTTAACACAACATGCCTCGGCATTTAGGCTGAAATAAGTAGTCTTAAACATCCTGCCTGAACTCGCGTTGTCCTAATTAGGCTTGCTAATGCTTAGCAACTTAAACTGCGTAGTCCTAATTAGGCTTGGTCATGCATAGAATTGCTCCAGTGGGCTTAACTAAGCGAAGCTCTTCATGCTTCACCTAAACTAGACTATTTTATACGTTGCGCTCTGTCTGATTTCCAAAAAGACACATCCTTTCTCCTATATAAACTGCTAATTCATCCTGCACGTCACTACTCGTCCGTTGTCTGGAACCCTTATGAGGAGTGCGAAATTTAGGAACTAGAAGGAGACCAGAAAAATGGCGGTAAGATCCATATCTCATCAATGCGACCGCGATTTATTACCCTACACTACTCTGTCTTCGTTGCAGTTAACTTCACTTCATTCGCCTCGCCGAATAAGATCATTAAAATTTTTGCTTAGCAACATTTTCCACAAATTTAAACTGTCAAAAAGTTGGCAGATCCCACGTGCAGTGGGAATTGACGATATGCGAAGCACGAATGAGAAAGGTTGTTATATATGTCACTTTAAAAATCAGCACAACGTCACGAGGTGGAGCTAAATGATGCCGTTATTATGTTTGGATGCATCGTTCACCTTCGTCATCTATTGACCTCACGTGATACTAAACTTAGTTTATGTGGAGCTAGCGAAACGGTCGCGAGCACGCTATGAGTTTAGTATGTTGTCATGTTCTTACATGAAACGCTTGCCAGGATTATCATGTTTGCACCAGTCATATATTTCGGAATCCATTGACGTCACGTAACAGCAAGGTTGGTATATGTGGAGCAAGCAAAACGGCCGCGAGCGCATCATGAAGGGCCCAATATACTCCACTGTAGCGTTGACGCGCGCGCACGCTGGACACAGTCAAGCTACGTTAGCAAAACGTGAGCACTCTATAGTCCGATGCCAGGCGCGACCGGCACGACCGGCGCGACCAGCGTCCATTGGCGCAGCCCGACAGCTACCGGTGCGAAATGCGACACGCTGCATTTCGCGCCGGTGCGTTACCCAGACAACAGTGCATCTCCCTTTTTTCATGACGGAGGAACGCCGGACGCACTAAAACACGCATGCATCAAAGCAACGCAGCGCGGCGTGCGCCTGCGAGTACATGGCAGGGCCGGCGCCTGGCGTGGCAACGCCGGCGTGACGCGACGAAATGAACACTGACGAGCACGCGCACTGCGTCACGTCAAAATACATTGGCGCCTTGACTGTCGCATGTATACTCACCTTCTTATACGACACGCATCTCATGATTATCATGTTTGCACCAGTCACAGACCTTCGTCAACCATTGACGTCACGTAATATCAAATTTGGCATATGTGAAGCTAGCGAAATGACCGCGAGGGCGTCATGAGCGTAGCATGTAGTCATGTTCTTACATGACACGCATGTCATGATTTTCATGTTAGGGTCTGTCGCTTGTGTTCGCCATGCAGTCATGTCATAGCATACCAGTTTTGTAACATGCCATGTGAACGAAACCACCACAGGAGCTGCAGAATTACGAAATGTAAATCATGACATTCATGACATACATATCACGATTTTTATGTGATGACTAATCAAATATGTTCTTCATACAGTCATGCTATGCCACACCAAGTTTGGTATCGATACCATTATGAAAATGGCCCGGATAGCTAAAAGTCGTAGACGGCTAGATAGATAGATAGATAGATAGATAGATAGATAGATAGATAGATAGATAGATAGATAGATAGATAGATAGATAGATAGATAGATAGATAGATAGATAGATAGATAGATAGATAGATAGATACGCTCAAAGTCGCCGAAGTTCACAAAGAAATGCTTCGCATCTAATAACGAGGAATACATAAACTTCACCCCACAGTCAATGACTAGAAGCTATCACAACCTAATTTTGCGGCCTTGCTACGCTCAAACTAATATGTTCAAGTTCAGTTTTTAGGGGCGAAGCTCCTTAGGGTTCTGGTCTGTCTTTCCTCCGTTGTTTTCGTGCGTAGCCACTGGTGGCACATACCAGCTCTAAAACAGGTAAGTGCCACAGGGGATGCGAGATGGGAGATGGCGGTACTTTCACGATTCACGAATACAGACGGGAGATGGGGATGCGAGATGGGAGTGTTCCCTAGATGGACGCTTGGACGGACGGATAGACAGACCAGTAGACGGATGATTGGATGGATGGACGCACGGAGCGGGTATGCGTCACAGGACATGCGAGATGGTGGTACTTGGAGTGTTCACTAGATAGACGCACGAACGGACGGACGGATGGAAGGACACATGGATGGTCGCGCGGACGGGCTGGCGAACGCTTCGCCCCACTAATCCTCATTCACTCCGTGGATATGCCGTGATTTGTTTACCCTGTTTCATCGAAGACTTGAGTTAATTATCTGGTTCTGACTCCGCCATGGTGGCCTAGGGGCTAAGGTACTTGACTGCTGACCCGCAGGTGGCGGGATCAAATGCCGGCAGCGGCAGCTGCATCCTCGATTGAAGTGAAAATGCTGTAGGCTCGTTTGCTCAGATTTAGTCGCACGTTAAAAAACCCCAAGCGGTCGAAATTTCCGGAGCCCTTCCCTACAGCGTTTTTCATAATCATATGGTGGTTTTCGGACGTTAAACCCCATGTGTCAAACAGTCATCGATCACCTGGTTCTGTTTGTTTACGCCCAACGCAGGGTTTTCTAGCTGAAATATATAACACATGTATATGTGTGAAATACACTCATCTCTTCACAAATGGTGTTTGTTAGTTTCGTTTTTTCTATGTTTTGATATATTTGCCTCAATTGTCACACATTGTAACTGTGTTACCTGGTTGCGTTATTTTCGTTGTTTTTAGATATATTTCTGCGTATTCTTATACGCAGAAATATAGCTATATATTATATACACATACTGCAGCGCTATTAGCGCTGCAGTAGGTGTATAGAAATAAATAAATAAATAAATTTGAATATATTTGTCTAGGTTAGTAGTATTCTAATAATTTGTGTATTGAATTTGTTTACGAAAGGTATTTCAGAGACCCTCTAGTGTACACAAGGCTTGACACGGCGAGCGAGAAAGAAGTCCCAGCTTTGCCACAAAGGCGAATCAATGAATAGCAACAAATTGAAAGGGCACGAGCAGAATGGCAAGCAGGTCGAAACGTGCCCCGCGTTTCTTACACACAAATGAGGCACGAATAGTATTCACGGGTACAGATGAACGCGGATAAGCGTCTCAGTTGCTAGTTCGCTGTGCCCGAAAAGCGCGTCCTTTTCGCAAACGAAGACTGCGCTACGGTGCAGTGAGTATTGTGCACCCTGTAACTACAAGAGAATCATTCCGGTGAAAACCCTAAGGTACGATTGTCCCTACCACGAGATAAGCGAGCATTCGCGAGTACGTCCGCTCTCCGAGGGGCGAAGTATGCGTGAGAGATGAGAGCGCGCGTAGCCGCGTCGTGATAAACGGGCAACGCACGCGCTCATTGCACCATCTCGCTGGTAATGCGGCAAAACACGATAGTAGTTCCCCCCGAGATACCCGCCCCCAGCGGTAAGTGGTAGGTATAAATAGCTTGCCGTTTGAGTGTTGAAGGAGGTGCTCCTCGGTGGCTCAGTAGTTGACGCCTTGCACTCACGATTCACACGTTCGATTCCACACGCCGGAGTCTATTTTTATTTTATTATTTTCATTTCTTGAGTTTACATATATAGATACGTATAACTATACGGTGAATGACAGTGACGGCGGCGGAAAGATCCAGCCGAGGGTGTTCATATAATTGCTATTGCAATAATACAAACAAGTTAGTTAACATTCACAAACCATGACTCAACGGAGTCCTTGAAAAGGGTGTAGTTGACGTGAAGGGCCGTCTCTTGAAAGACGGTTGTTTCAGTCGATGGAAGTATTGACAAAAAATTATTGTAGGTGCGTGGATGTGCGGCAACAGGGAGGGCACATGGCTTTATTATGGCTGATGCCTACAGAGATGCGATGAGCTGCATTGATGGAAGAACAGTTAGGTAACACGTGAAAAAATATTATAGTAGAGTGAAAGCCTTGCACATTTGTTGCGTTTTTGAAACTAGGCAGTCCAGCTTTTTTTTTTAGGTTAAGCTGCGCAAGCAGTGCACCGATAGTCAGAGTATATCTAACTACACTGTTTTGTATTGATTCCGTTGAGTCAGTTATGACGTATTCAGAGAGACGCCAGACAGAACAAGCATACTTTATTTTGGGACGAATTAGTATTTCTTAGGTTAGTAAATTAACTGGAGACGAGTGTATCAGGGCGAAGTGGAGTCGAATTACACATATTGGGATCGAGGTTTGAGAAAGCTAGCTATGCAGCTGGTTATTCGAGGGAAGTTTGAAATTTCGTCAATTTTACTAATTAGCCTGTTTTGTATATGCTGCCTCCCTCGGTGGAGCAGTGGCTGTGGTGCTCAGTTGCTAACCAAAAGGTCTCGGGTTCAAACTTAGCTGCGACCATCGTACTTCGATAGCGGCAAATTGTAGAGGATGGTGCACTGTGCACTGTCTGCAAACTCCACGGTAAAAAATTAGGGGACCCTAAAACCCTTTAGAAGGTGAACGCGATAGTGACATCGTATTCCTAATGCGTATTTCAAACACTTAGTGCATAACACTTTTTCCAATTCGCAATGCACCCACTGTAGGTGGCTTGTAGGGAATAGGCGCAGTAGCGTGTGTGCCTTTTAATTGGGGTACTGGCTTTTAACCACGGAGCCATGATGAAAATCGCAAATTCTGACGCCCGCTGGCAATTGACGCTTGTACCACGCATTATTACTGCAATATTTCATGTTGCGTTGCGAAGCATGTATACAGGACACGTGTATTTGTGAATCGTGAAAGCTACTTTCACTGCAATTTCAAGGAGTAGTAGTCTCTTTTCACTGTTCTCTCAAGCAGAGGCGTTGCCTTGTGCAATAAAGAAAAAAAAAAAAGAGGCGTTGCCTTGTGGTAGAACATCCGCTAGCCACGGAAACAGCCCGGGTTCGATCCCACTCACACCGAAACATCGCTGGTTTGGTCTCCACTATGCTCCAGTGATTTTTATCAGTTATTTTTTATTTTCATAATTCTCGATGTTTCTGTTATGCATAGGATGATGATTTTTCACTCACAATCAACCGCGCCGACGCCGCAATTTCTGCGAAACGAGCTCTTTGACGCAATCCCGTTAAAGTTTCTGGACCAGATAACTGCAGCGTGTCTCATATTCATATCGACGTTTTGGTGCGCGATAACCCTAACAGCTTTCTCATTTGGCATTTTCAGCACTTTGGAATTGATATCGTGTGGTCCCGCCGATGAAGTTACTTTAGTGATCAAAGTATTTCAACAAACTTTTTGTGAAAAAAAAAAAGAAGAGATAGTAGAGTGTTGATGTAAGAGAGAAACAGATAGCCCAGTTCTCAAGCACGCGTAATGACCATTTCAAGAGCGAAGATGCTACATATGCGCTCTCTTTGTGTACCGATGAATAATCAGTTGGAAGTAGCCTGTTGTGTTTCTTGTTCTTGTCTTTGTGGGCTTACCAGTTTTTTTTAATGAAGATATTTCATTCGTGCGTATGAGTCACCAGATGTTTTTGCTTGCTTGAGGTGCCTATTGTTTTGTGATTCTCAAGCCTCGTTATCTTACGGTTAAACCGGAAGACGTTGCGTTCTCTTTAACTGAAAATGGGGGTATTTTCTGAGAAGCTTGTGCACTTCAAAATATAAAAAAGGACCAATTGCAATTGGCCATGCTGAAACGAATCCTTCACACGTTCTAGACGCAGCTGTGCTAGGTGACGTGAGATACCATATAAGGTACAGGCTGTTCATGATGACGACCGCTTCTGTTCGCACGAAACGGACAAACGAAAAGCTGCACTGTAAAATAGACGCTTACAAAGCGTGTTTTTCTTTTTCAAAAGACAAGTACACGTCCTTAAATAAAAGACAAAAATAATTTTACGTATAGGGTTGACAGTGTTCTGATAAGGCTGTGCGCTTGAGTTTTAGAAAAGGAACGATTTCACTTGGTGATGCTCAAACTATATATACTATAGCCTGAACGTTGCTATGAAGAATGGGAAGGTTTCACAATAATAATAATAATAATAATAATAATAATAATAATAATAATAATAATAATAATAATAATAATAATAATAATAATAATAATAATAATAATAATAATAATAATAATAATAATACGGTTTTATTCAATCGATACCTTATTTACCGCACCCAGGAGCAACCACATAAGGTCTTTATGCACGTGCACACAAAAATAAAACACTATAGATGAACAATAAAAGACGGACAGTTTTCAGATAAAGAAATCAAATAAAAAGAGCGAGTAAGTGCTTAAAAAAACCAACGCAAAGCGAGAACAAAAAAAAGAAACACGAAAATCACGGAATTGGAAGGATAATTATGAGGACTTTACCTAACTATGCGAAACACTTCGACAAAGACAGAAAAGGCAAGAATCTGCACATTCGTAAGCATTATGTTAAGGCAGTAGAAAGCTTAGAAGAAAACAATGAGAAGTACGGGCTGCTGGTCAGTTTATAATTCATCTTAACTGAGCTGCGCAATAAAGAAAAAAACTTGAAGTACAAAACGAAGACACCTGGACACAGAGCAAACTAACAACTCAAGCTTTACTGGAGAAAACAGACATATTTATATATGCGGTTACAAGAACACGGGCAGTGAAAGAAAGAAAAAATTAAATGAGCAGACACATTGTAATAATGGTGCGTTTCCAGAAAAGGTATACCTCAGCGGCATGTAACATAACCGAGTTTTTCGCGAGAAACAAATCGCCAGCGTTGTTGAAAAAATACGCTTCTTCAATTTGCCGTGCTACCTTGCCCCTGAATCTAACTTTGACTACCGTGTCATCAAACAAGGGTGCGCAGCTACATCCTTCACAATGCAATCATAAGTTAGAGCATGGTTGTCCCTTCAGAGAAGCTTTGCGATTCGTAATCCTATTATTGATACAACGCTTCTTCCGTACAAAATAATACTTCCCACACGACACCATTTTATACTAGATAGTGGTGCTGCGTACCCTTGTTTGGTGATACGGTAGGTAAAGCTAGATTCAGGGAACAAATGGCAGCGTATCCACGGAGTGAATGATGGAGAGTAGGGCGAAGCATCTGTCCGTCCATGCGTGCGTCTGCGTGGCCACCCATGCGTCCGTCCGCCCGTTCGTGCGTGCGCCTGTTCGTGCGTACGCACATCCATCTGCGCGTTCGTCCCTACGTTCGTCCATGCATCCGCTCCTGCGTCCGTCCATGCATCCATCCATTCGTGCAGCCATCCGTGCGTCCGTCTATGCATCTGTCTGTGCGTCCGTTCGTTCACCTATTCAACACTCCAAGTACTACCATCTCGCATCTTTTCATCATATATTCCTCATATAGAAGCACCGTCATCCAGCGGACATTCCAAGGACTAAACTAGAGGAGGCACACACACATTTTGTTACGGCTCGCGCTTCGTGTCTACTTCCCACCTTTAACCACCTCGAGTTCATGGCATATACTAGTTCACTGTATTCATGGCACTGCGGCCCAACGCTCGCTAAACCTTTCTAAAACCAAGGAGGTTATGCCCAGCGATTATAACGTAGCAACCCTTTCTTGTCAGATAGTTCTCAATGTACATGCCAATGGCTGCTAAGGGGGAATGAAAACCTTTAGAATCCGGCTTTTAGTTAACGTGCACGCTGCGAATTTTTTATTGTTCAACAACGCACAGAGGAAATCTCCCACCGGCACCACCTTGGAGGTCAAAATGTAAAACTGGTTAAAACTACGACTACTACTACAACTACGAGTGACGAACTGGTGCCGCTATAGGTAGCCTGGGAAATTGAAGAAGCGTATTTCTTTAACAAAGCTGGTTATATATGTGTCGCGAAACCCTCGGTTATGTTACATGTCGCTAAGGTAGCTTTTCCGGAAGCGCATCATTAATACAATCTGTCTGCTCATCCAATCATTTTCTTTCACCGCACGTGTTCTCGTAACCACATATATGTGTCTGTTTTCTCCGAAAACGTTTCACTTTCACTCTGTCCAGGTGTCTTCCTTTTGTACTTCAATTTTTCTGTGCAGCTCATTTAGGATTAGGAAGAAAACAATGAGTGTGACCAATGAAAAACATCAAGAATATAATAGTTAACATTTCTAGAGACTGTATTTTGTGCAAGGTAGAGTGTTGGAATAAGCTGGTAGGTACATTAAATGTTTCCTTCTCCCCGGTTAGCTCTCGCTGAATTAAAAAAAATAATACAACTGGGACGTAAAGGGAGAATATAGTACCATGGACTAACTAGCTTGTAAAAGAATAACAGGTCATAGTGATTTAGTCAGCAGTAAAGTGATGGCAGTCACAATATTCTACTACTGTTAGAACGAGACGCAGAGTCATTTCTAGACGAACCATGGTTGTAATTACTTATGGCTCATTTTTTGGACTTGCTCAATGACGCTAATAATGTATTTTGGTATGCCATTTGAGATCACCGATGGACACTCGAATTGAGGAAGACATATAATGGTGTACAATTTGTGAAAGGCTGCGGGTGAACTGAATTCTCGAGAGATTCTGCAAACACAGCCGACTGAAAAAAGGCCACGCACAGCAGCACGTTTAGTGTGAGCAAAAAAAATTTAGCCTTCAATAAAAAAACTAAAAAACAAAAAGCACGAAGATCACCGATCCCATAAACTTTGCATAACGACACGGTGTTGACACAATGTGAAAATGACTTGATGGATTTTTGCTAGATATACTCGTAAATTTTGTTTGAGGCATTCAGGGAAATGCTACTGCCGTTACACCATTAGCAGACAGGACGAAAATTGGACCGCAGCACGCGACAGTCGTTAACTGAGTGAATTTCATTATTATCTTTTATGTCATCAATATACAAGGGGAAATAAATATAGCAAATTGAAAAAACATGTCATTAACATAAATTAAAAATACTAGTGGGCCTAATACCGGCTTTTGTGAGGTGCCACTATAACCACTTTGTACAATGAAGATGTTTGGCCAATTGCGACAACATAACGTGATCTGTCAAGCAGATAGCTAGGTGGGACATTCAACACAGATGAGTCAGCATGCAAGTGTGCAAGTTTAACCTTATTCAGAGAGCAGATTACTAAGTCAGAAGCCCTGCTCAGGGGACAGCAGACTAAATCAATTTGTATTTTTAAAGAACAGGTGGAGAGATTTGCTTTATGAAACTATCAGTATATGTGGTACTTGAGCAGCCAGGAAGAAATCCGTGTTGGTTAAAAAATTATGATTTTTGCACGCTAAAATAAACTATCTTGTGAAGAGTAAGCCTAAAGATCTCCGATGTGGCATACAGTAGAAAAATAGGGTAATATATAGAAATATCAGTTTTGGAGCCCGACTGAAATACTGAAAAAGCAATTACAGTTTTTCGCATCCTGCGACGTGTAAACGTGTTCCGGCAGTTAGTAACTATAGTCACTCCTGGGGCAAATACACTCGCACAAGCTTTTAGTGCGGTGGACAGGATGCCACTTGAATCACACGATGACTGTTTTAAGCAGCTAATGCAGGACAAGCTTTTCATCCATCGACAGACCACTGGATGTGCTAACTGCTTTGTGCTGTTTTCCGATCTCATGGCAGAGTCTAAGGCCCCATAAGCAAATGAAAAACTGCGTGGCCAAACAGTCTGCGACGACATTTACTTCAAAACCATCCGAGTCAAGCAATCTGAAGAACTTGCAACTTTTTCTGCACCGTTGGGTTACATACTTCCAAATCTCAGCCATTCGGGTCAGAATTGTTTTTTGCTTATAATTGAACATTGTTACCAGTATTCACATTTTTGCAATTTTAGCATTTTCATCATACTTGTTATTGTGCAGAGTATCATGCGATATGGCATCACATTAATTGAGTTCTGTTCTTCGCGATGGCAGTGTCTAGTTGGTAATATTTCGAAAATCATGTTGAAAGCGATTGTGTGCGATCTTTCTTCTAATGCAAGTTTATTTTCTCTGCACTTCCGGAACTTGCAGTTCGAAAAAGAATACATCGCCCCTCGTATATCAAGGCTTTCGTCCTTTGTGTACTTTTCATCAAAATGCGATATCGCAAAAATAACAGAAAGCTCTATGTCCCTAATTTCAATGGCCTCCCCGACAGTGGCTTCTCTGCATCGACAAAATACAGTCTACAAATTATCCGAAAGTCATTTGAATCCGGCACCATTCATTGTACCAATATTTTCAGTTTCTTTCATTGCGGATTAAAACTATTTAAAGTTGCTCACACTGTATCTGCAAAATTTCTACTTAGGTAGAATTGCGTCCCTTAGTTTGTCTGCTTTTCCTCAATATTTCACGTGACAAGCTTCTGAATATGTATGCCATCATTCGTTTTCCAATATGTCGAGCCTGGCCAAGCCACTGACTTGCTTTGACAGGCCTGTTATCAATGTTTTACGCCTCGAGGTGACAATGAAGATTACATATTATTATTATATTATTATTATTATTATTATTATTATATTATTATTATTATTATTATTATTATATTATTATATTATTATATTATTATTATTATTATTATTATTATTATTATTATTATTATTATATTATTATTATATTATTATTATTATTATTATTATTATTATTATTATTATTATATTATTATATTATAAGAGTGGCCAGGAAAGAGCGGCAGCTATGGGACCGGTTGTGAATTTTTTTTGCTTCATCGTGCAGATTTCGTCTCTTGTCTACACGTGGCCATGCGCTGCTTCTGCGGCGTCAACAAACGGGTCTACGTCAACGATCATCCTAATCGCTGTCCCTGCTGCTCAACCCGATGCCTGTGCTACAACCGCTTGGATGGCACCGTTCCACCTTTTGGACCAGCCGATTCCTTCGTCGACGTCAGCACATCCTGCTGATTTAAACGTCAGCCCGTCGTCGGCGCCTTTCAGTGGCCAGGAAAGAGCGGCAGCTATGGGACCGGTTGTGAATTTTTTCTGCTTCATCGTGCAGATTTCGTCTCTTGTCTACACGTGGCCATGCGCTGCTTCTGCGGCGTCAACAAACGGGTCTACGTCAACGATCATCCTAATCGCTGTCCCCTGCTGCTCAACCCGATGCCTGTGCTACAACCGCTTGGATGGCACCGTTCCACCTTTTGGACCAGCCGATTCCTTCGTCGACGTCAGCACATCCTGCTGATTTAAACGTCAGCCCGTCGTCGGCGCCTTTCAGTGGCCAGGAAAGAGCGGCAGCTATGGGACCGGTTGTGAATTTTTTCTGCTTCATCGTGCAGATTTCGTCTCTTGTCTACACGTGGCCATGCGCTGCTTCTGCGGCGTCAACGAACGGGTCTACGTCAACGATCATCCTAATCGCTGTCCCCGCTGCTCAACCCGATGCCTGTGCTACAACCGCTTGGATGGCACCGTTCCACCTTTTGGACCAGCCGATTCCTTCGTCGACGTCAGCACATCCTGCTGATTTAAACGTCAGCCCGTCGTCGGCGCCTTTCAGTGGCCAGGAAAGAGCGGCAGCTATGGGACCGGTTGTGAATTTTTTCTGCTTCATCGTGCAGGTTGGTAACCGCCCGTCTTTGTACTCAAAGCGCTCCAGTGATACATGTCTGCTGCTCTTCCCTGGCCCAAGTGTTATATATGACAATGTCTCTGAGTGCTTTCATGTCCTCAAGTTACTTTTGTGCGGGGATATTGAATCAAACCCAGGACCGGACGATAAGGTGCTGACAGCTATTGCTAGCCTTTCAGCTAAAGTAGACTCGCGTCATGCGGAACTTCTTGCCGTACTTAACCAAGTTCAAACCAATCAATCTTTATTAGAACAGAAAGTAACCGACCTTTCTAGCAGGCTAGCGACAGTTGAGACGATGGTAGAATCATATGACTCGGGTCACCATATTCCTGATCTTCCGCAAGCAGTAAATACAGTCATAAGAAACGAAACGACTGCTCTTCATTCCCGACTTGACGAGTTGGAAGATCGCTCTCGTAGAGATAATTTGATATTTTTTGGCATTGCTGACAATGTTTCTGAAGGTTGGGCGCAGAGTGAAAAAATAATCACTGACCTTATATCTCAAAAACTTGACCTCAACCTATCAAATGAAGCAATACAGCGTGCGCATAGGCTTGGTGCCTATGTTCCCAATAAGTGCCGGCCTATTATTGTTAAATTTCAGTCGTCAAAAATAAAGGATAACGTTTTTTATCAGAGGAAGAAGTTTCAACCCTCTAAGGTGTCAGTTAGTGAAGATTTCTCGAGGGCAACACGACAATGCCGAAAAAAGTTACATGAATTTGGTAAAAACTCTGGACAGCCGTACTCGCTACGAGTAAACAAATTGTATATTAACAAGACTGTCTATGTGTATTGCCATGTTACCGACCGTGTGTGCGAACTTGAGACACGCGAGGAGCGCAACAACAGTAACATTGGTAATGCTTCCCCCGTCACTCTTCCAGCTGCTGCCAGTTTACCCGCCCCAGCAACATAGCTAGCACGAACGCAATCAGCCAGTCAGGTGTCCCTGCTGTATTCCAATGTGCGTAGTGTGTGTAACAAGCGCGACGACTTATCTTCCGTTATCGACACGTGTTCTGCGGATGTGGTACTGCTCACAGAAACTTGGCTCTCTTCCGCTATTCATGACTTTGAAATATTGCACTGCGAAGCGGGCTACAAAATTTATCGTTCGGATCGTACTGGTAGTCGAGGCGGTGGTGTGTTGATAGCTGTCCGGGATACTTTCATCTCTAGTGCGATTATGGTCGACACCAACTTAGAATTTGTTAGCGCATGTGTATTTACAGGGCATAGAAAGTTCATTTTCAGTGTGTGCTATAAACCGCCACAGTCTTCAACAGCATTTTGTCAAGAATTACATGATGTCCTAAATAAGTTGACTGTGCGGTTTCCCAAATGTCCTTTATTTCTTTTTGGAGATTTTAACTTGCCTTCTATAATCTGGTCTACTGACCCGCCAAGTCTTGTGGAAAATTCAATAGAATGTTCGTCATTTTTGAATGTTTGTTTAGATTTTAACCTTAAGCAACTGGTACTTCAGCCTACTCGTTGCTCACCTCATTCTGCCAATGTACTAGATTTGCTGCTTACGACCACTCCAGAACTCGTCTCACCCCTAGTATTTATGCCCGGTCTAAGTGATCACTGTTTTATTCACTGTAGTATTCATGCCCATTTACCTTGCACGAAGCAAGTTAAATTTATTAAAGATTATAAAAACGCCAATTTTGCTGCAATAAATAATGAACTTGCTAATTTCATCACAGACTATATGCCTGGTTTTTATACACGCACCATTCAAGAAAATTGGTTTATGTTTAAAGAAAAGGTCGCTTTTTTGATTGACCGCTACATTCCTAAAAAACAGATCCTTTCTTCTTCTAAAGCCCCTTGGTTTAACGCCCATTTGAAGCGCTTACTAAACAAGAAGAAAAGGATTTTCCGCCGAGCAAAAGTGGTGATGACGCCTGAGCGTTGGCACGCGTACTTCGTCGCTGAACAAGAGTACAAAACGCCATTGCGCAGGCTAAAAATGTATTCCACAACATTACCCTACCCACCCTACTGAAAGATAATCCCCGGCAATTTTGGAATGTAGTTCGTGGCAGCAGATCTACAACGTTTCACCTACTAGATAGCAATGGTGATGCTGTTTCCAATCGTGACTGCTGCAATGTGATGAATGATGTATTTGTTTCTTGTTTTTCTGGGGCAACACCCTTTTCTATGCCTTCTGTCGAAGACCTTTCTTTTTTTCCTATGGATTTCATATCTGTTGATTCATCTGGAGTGTGCCGTATAATAGAAAAAATGAAATTGTCTAGCTCTGCAGGCAACGACGGCATCAATTCAAAGTTCTTAAAAAACACAAAACTTTATTCTTCCATTATACTCGCTGAACTTTTTTCGCAGTCTTTGCAGTCTTCCACTTTGCCAGATGATTGGAAGGTGGGTAAGGTGGTTCCACTTCACAAATCAGGTAACACCCACTCTCCCCTCAATTACAGGCCAATATCTTTAACCAGTGTACCCTGCAAACTTCTCGAGCACATCATCTATTCAAACTTAGTATCTTTTCTCGAATCCAACTCATTTTTTTCCCCTTGGCAACACGGTTTCAGGAAGCACTTCTCTTGTGAAACGCAGTTACTTTCTTTTACTAACGATCTTTTTCGTGCTTTCGACAATAATTTCATTATCGACTGCATCTTTTTAGATTACGCTAAAGCCTTCGACACTGTTTCGCATACTCTCCTTCTTCTCAAAATGAGCAAGCTAAGTATAGATCCTAACATCCTTGACTGGATTCACTGTTTTCTAACAAACCGTCTGCAGTATGTTCATGCTAATAATTATAACTCTCCTACCGTTGCTGTAACATCAGGCGTACCACAGGGTTCGGTTTTAGGTCCATTGCTTTTTCTTATTTATATTAATGATTTGCCTGTCGGAATTAATTCTACCATTAGGCTTTTTGCTGATGATTGCGTACTGTATCGTGTCATTCATAATCAACATGACGTTTCTACATTGCAGTCCGACATTGACGCTGTTTCTAACTGGTGCGACAAGTGGCTCATGAAATTAAACATCAGTAAGTGTAAAGTTATGAGAGTAATGCACCACAATAAAGTCAATGACCATTTTTCCTATACCCTCAAAAACTCCTCTTTAAACCCCGTTACTAGTTACCGTTACCTTGGCGTGCATATAACCCACAACCTCTCTTGGAATATGCATGTTGAACATGTAATTAATAACGCTGATCGCATGCTTGGATTTCTCCGCCGTCATTTTTCATCCGTTCCTTCAGATTTAAAACTTAAATTGTACACAACACTCGTTAGATCGAAATTGGAATACGCTTGTTCTATTTGGGATCCATTTAGCTCCGTATTAACTACAGCCCTTGAATCCGTTCAGAACCGTGCAGCTCGTTTTGTGCTCTCTAACTACAACCGCTACGCCAGTGTTTCTTCAATGAAAGCTACCCTAGGATTACCAACACTTAAGTCACGCCGTAAGTACTTCCGTCTCAACCTATTTCACAAAATCTTTTACACGAATCCAACACTTAAAAATGATCTTTTCCTTCCCCCAGATTATGTATCACCACGGTTAGACCATCATCTTAAAGTTAAAGTTCCCATATGCCGCACTAACACTTGCCATGCTTCTTTTTTGCCTCAAACAAGCAGTGACTGGAACCACCTTCCTGCCTCCATTGCTGCAATCGAAGAATCTGCCGCCTTCAAAATTGCAGTTATTGATACATTGTTGTCAGACCACTCCTCTCTGTAATGCCCTCGGGCCCTGAGAGTATGAAAATAAATAAATAAATAAATAAATAAATTATTATTATTATTATTATTATTATTATTATTATTATTAATCGTAACTGGTGAATTTTAAGCAGCGCATATGCAAACTGTGGTGTACCGAGAATGACCGATGCATATATGTAAAGTTTTCTGGTGCCTATCGGTCAATAATCGATATTCAAGACTTATACGTGCACACACTTCTGAACAATGCTAAAAATCAGTACCAGTGGTGAGTCTTAGCACATGCACAACGTTGATAGTACATCCGTAGAGAAGTCGCGAGACATGATGGCAATGTTTTATATTTCTTGTCCCCAAGTTGACCCGACACTGAAGAGAGAAATGGGCGCCAATTGCAGCATCTGCAAATGTGCACTTGGGCTGGGGATCTGCTGCTTTCCCTTAAAAATCTCTGAGGGTATGGAGCGGCACCTTGAACTAATGTCATTCCTTGTGATTGTCGAAATACAATAAATACAGCTGGTTTGAAGCACTTCAATGCGTTTTTTAAATGGAATAATAAAGCGCTTTTTCGTGGATGCACTTTTCACAGTTAAGACAATCAGAATGTCACTCCGACAGATCGTTTTAGTCCGCTAATACGATGCTGTGTTAAACTAGTGTACCTACACTTCAGGTAACGCTACCTACGTTTCTTCTATTTTATTTGGATTTGTTTCCATTAGTTCCCATTGTTGCCCATATATATCAGTCTTTGTGAAATGTTCAGAAATTGATGATTTTGATTTGTGGGGTTTAACGTCCCAAAACCACCATATGATTATGAGAGACGCCGTAGTGGAGGGCTCCGGAAATTTCGACCACCTGGGGTTCTTTAACGTGCACCCAAATCTGAGCACACGGGCCTACAACATTTCCGCCTCCATCGGAAATGCAGCCGCCGCAGCCGGGATTTGAACCCGCGACCTGCGGGTCAGTAGCCGAGTACCTTAGCCACTAGACCACCACGGCGGCGCTCAGAAATTGGTGACGTATATAATTGGCAGTCAACCGCAACAAAAAGAGAATTCCATTGTACATTTTAAGCGAATGCCAGAGTTGAAAGACTCCACTCAATGCACTTGATGGCCGTGAAATACGCAAAGAATGTAGTTAATATTAATTGGGCAACAAAGGAAAACACAGGCTTCATTTCTCACAGTGTATTTTCATACTACTATAGGCCTTAAATTCAAAGGTGTATTGAGATGGTTATCAAACGACATGCAAGCAATAATAATTATAATTAGGCAACGTGCATTGATGCATGTTCTTGAGATATATTGTGTTTAGGGCACTGTCGGTTCCCTCAGTCAAACTAGCAGTCTTATCTGCCACAAATTTTCGTCGGGTAACAGTTACTGTCATAGACAGCAGCGAGTAGTAGTTGCGACTTTAACGGAACCATTCTGTATGGCTAGTAACGAAAAACAAAAACACATCATACCCATAAACGGAATGATAATTAGTCGGGCGAAGCGCCCGTCAGTCTGTCCGCGCTTCCGTCTTTCCGCTCGTTCTTGCTTCCGTCCGCGCGTGCGGCAGTTCGTGTGACCTTCCATGCGTCCTGTGCATGCGTCCGTCCATGCGTCCGTCCATCTGTGCGTCTGGCCATCCGTCCATGTGTCCATCTGTTCATTCGCCCATGCGTCCATCCGTGCGACTGCCCTTGTGTTCGACCATGCATCCATCCATCCGTCCGTGCATCCGTTTATGCGTCCATCCATGCGTGCGCCCATCCGCCCATCCGTGCGTTCGTTCGTGCATCTGTCTGTGCATCCGTCCGTCCGTAAATCTAGTGAACACTCAAAGTGCCGCCATCTCGCATCTTTACATCATTTAATAATGATATACAAGTACCGTCATCCAAGTGACTTTCCAAGGATTAAATAAGAGGTGGCTACACACTGCCGCTACGACTACTACTATTACTAGTACTCCTACTACTAGTACTGTAGTTGCGACCAGCCAGATCTGAATCCAGCGTTACGACGATCGAGGAGGCCATTGTATTCAAGGTAATAGGGCGGCGATTTACTATTTTGTAGCGTTTGCTACACTGGCCTCGCTGAGCCAATTTCGCGTGGCACTGGTTTGCGCATGCGCGATGATACTCCGCCGCCGCTGCGTGCGGCTCGCCGCCGGTGTGCGCGCAATTCGATGCGCTGCGCAGACGATCAGTGTTGGCACGCACCGGAGCCGGCACCTCCCTCGCACTCGGTCGCGGCCGTGCGCGACTCACCGCCGCCGGTGTGCGCTTTCCAGAGGAGTGCCGTCATAGCCTTGGTAGACATATAGACGCCGACGCGCGCGCCTTCCCTGTGCAGTCGCCATCTGACACTGCACTGGAGCCGCTTGATAGCGCCTCTGACTGGCGTTTGCCACTGTGGTATAGCCCCGGAGAAGAAGAGTGCAAATGCTGCTCAACGGTGCAGTAGAGCGGAGAAGCTTAACTCATCGGATCCCGAAGTAGTTGCCCGGCCAAATAAATGTGCTAATCTTAGACACTCTGAAAAGCTAAGAATAATCAGCTGAACCTTTGCTAACGCTATGTATATCCTGGCATAGCTGAGCTAAGCCCCTGCCATTTTTTTTCGGACACCTTGCACAAGCAGCTAGTCAGCTCGATAGGCCTCTGACTAGCAGCAAACGTGGCTTCTTTTTTTGTTTAAGGATGGGCCATGAGTAGACGCCCAGAGGACGATACATTGTTGAAAATAATGAGAATGACGTCGTGTTTCTGTGTGTAATGTTTCAGCATGCCGTAAGTAATCCTCTCCAGGCCTGCTGCAGAGCGGCCACACGTTGCCAGAGTTGCCTTTAGTTCACCTATAGTAAAGGCGTTATCGTACCCTGCTGCGAATGGCCTTTCATCACGAATAGGTTTTCGTTCCTCGGAAAGTTTGTATCGCTAAAAGGAGTCTGTATAATGTAGT